CCTCTCTCTCTCTCTCTCTCTCTCTCTCTCTCTCTCTCTCTCTCTCTCTCTCTCTCTGTTCAGTTCAATTCAAATTAGCTTTATTGGCATGAATGTGAAACAACAATATGGCCAAAGCTTCATACAAACTACATAAGAACAATCAACCACATACATTTCATTACACAAGTAATTAAAGCGTAAAGTAATTAAAGCGTAAAGTAATTAAAGCGTAAAGTAATTAAAGCCTGTGTGTGTTTGTGTTAGAAAAATTTATGTGTATTAATAGAAAAAAAAAGTTATTAATTGATTAAAATAATAATAATAATTTGAAAATCTGTACAATTATTTATCAGTCTGAGGTTCCACTGGTTGTCCTCACTTCATGGCATGAGGAGACATATGTTGCAGCAATTATTTCATATTTGCGCATTTCTCCCAGTAAATAGGGGAGTTTTCGGGGTATATTTTGGAAATGTTTGCAAAGTGTTTTTGTCTTTGTGTTTTATATTTTGGGCATGAGGTTAGAAAGTGCAGCTCTGTCTCTACCTGTCCTTTGAGTCTCTACCTGTCCTTTGAGTCTCTACCTGTCCCTGAGTTTCTACCTGTCCTCTGAGTCTCTACCTGTCCCCTGAGTCTCTACCTGTCCTCTGAGTCTCTACCTGTCCTTTGAGTTTCTACCTGTCCTCTGAGTCTCTACCTGTCCCCTGAGTCTCTACCTGTCCTCTGAGTCTCTACCTGTCCTCTGTCTCTACCTGTCCCCTGTCTCTACCTGTCCTCTGAGTTTCTACCTGTCCTCTGAGTCTCTACCTGTCCTCTGAGTTTCTACCTGTCCTTTGAGTCTCTACCTGTCCCTGAGTCTCTACCTGTCCTCTGAGTTTCTACCTGTCCTCTGTCTCTACCTGTCCCCTGTCTCTACCTGTCCTCTGAGTTTCTACCTGTCCTCTGAGTCTCTACCTGTCCCCTGTCTCTACCTGTCCTCTGAGTCTCTACCTGTCCTCTGAGTTTCTACCTGTCCTTTGAGTCTCTACCTGTCCTCTGTCTATACCTGTCCCCTGTCTCTACCTGTCCTCTGAGTTTCTACCTGTCATCTGTCTCTACCTTTCCTCTGTCACACTGGGAGCAGAGTCTGTCCTCTTGTGGTTTTCTATGGCCAGGCTGTGTTCACTCAGTCTGTATGTTGTCAACATTTTTCTTAGTTTGGGACATTTTATTGTGCTCAGGTAATTTGCCAGTGTGAATTCTCTTTTTAGGGTCAGATAACATTGTGATTTACTTTGTGTTTTGGTCATTTCTTTTCAGTATTCAATATATTTTCTTTCTGCTTGCTGATAATTTGGTTTGGTCTGCTTGAGTTGGTGTTGCTGTCCTGAGGCTGTTGGGGACTTGTTACTGCAGAGAGCCTCAGGACCAGCTGGCTGAGGGGACTCTTCTCTGGTTTCAGCTCCTGGTATGTTAGGGCTTTGTGATGATATGTCTGGGGGTTAACTGATTGTAAGTGATTGTAAAATTAAGTGATCTTTTCTGTATTTTTAGTAGAAGGGGTTTTTGGCCGAGCTCTGCTCTGCACAGGTTATTTGGTGTTTTTCTCTGCACCTGCAGGATGTTCTTACAGAACTCAGTATGGAAAGATTCTATGATTGTCCCAGACCCAGAGAGTCCCCTCGTAGCCCGCCGTCGACTCTGTACGGACCCAGAGAGTCCCCTTGTAGCCCGCCGTCGACTCTGTACGGACCCAGAGAGTCCCTCGTAGCCCGCCGTCGACCCTGTACAGACCCAGAGAGTCCCCTCGTAGCCCGCCGTCGACCCTGTACGGACCCAGAGAGTCCCCTCGTAGCCCGCCGTCGACCCTGTACGGACCCACAGAGTCCCCTCGTAGCCCGCCGTCGACTCTGTACGGACCCAGAGAGTCCCCTCGTAGCCCGCCGTTGACCCTGTACAGACCCAGCGTACGGCAGAGCTGTAGAAGCTGCATACCGCTTGTATTAGTAAGCTTGTCAAAGCTCTTTCTAGCAGGACATTCAGGGAGGGGGAAGCAGGTGCTTCCAGGTAAGTGTTTGTCTCCCTGGGTGTTCATAGTGGCAGCTCTTTCCCCTGTTCGAGCGTTCAAGTCCCCACAGATTAACACATTTCCCATGGTTTTATAATGGTTAACTTCCTCCTGAAGAATAGAGAAAGTATCTGGGTTGTAGTAGGGGGATTCTGATGGAGGTATATAGATGGCACACATGTAGACATGTTGCTCAGCACAAATCATCTGTTTGTTCATTTTCAACCATATATTAGCTTCTTCTTTCTTAATAACTGATGGACTGGCTCAGTTCTGATTTACACCATATAATCAGGCCTCCTGAATCTCTGCCTTGGGTTATTGTGGGATTTTTTTGTTGATGGTAGCTGTGAGAACGACCAGTGGAAACATCTTCTCTGCACCATGTCTCCTGTAAAACTATGATGTCAGAGTCTTTTAACTCTCTAAAATCTGGATTTCTGCTCTTTAAACCAAAAGCTGATGATCTCAGACCTCGAATGTTCCAACATGTTGTTGTAAATGATTTCATCTCCAAGTGTAATCTGTTCAAAAAAACAAATAATAATCTAGATATTAAAAATAATACTAATAACAAATGAAAAAAAAAAAAGTGTAAAAAGAGGAAAATAGTGTTGTAGGTAAATAAATAAAATATTTTAGAGTGTTTCATGTGTGAAATACTGTTAAGAATTGTCCTTATTTTACTATTGGTTTAAAATGCTAAACTATGAATTATTGTGATGTCTCTAAGAGTCTCTGCTCTTCTTTTGTTCAGTGGAACAGGACCACAGACTGGTGGAGCGGGACCACTGACTGGTGGAGCAGGACCACAGACTGGAGCGGGACCACAGACTGGAGCAGGACCACTGACTGGAGCAGGACCACTGACTGGTGGAGCAGGACCACAGACTGGAGCGGGACCACAGACTGGTGGAGCAGGACCACAGACTGGAGCAGGACCACAGACTGGTGGAGCAGGACCACTGACTGGTGGAGCAGGACCACAGACTGGAGCAGGACCACTGACTGGAGCAGGACCACAGACTGGAGCAGGACCACTGACTGGTGGAGCAGGACCACAGACTGGAGCAGGACCACTGACTGGTGGAGCAGGACCACAGACTGGTGGAGCAGGACCACAGACTGGTGGAGCAGGACCACAGACTGGAGCGGGACCACTGACTGGAGCAGGACCACAGACTGGAGCAGGACCACTGACTGGTGGAGCAGGACCACAGACTGGTGGAGCAGGACCACAGACTGGTGGAGCAGGACCACAGACTGGAGCAGGACCACTGACTGGAGCAGGACCACAGACTGGAGCAGGACCACTGACTGGTGGAGCAGGACCACAGACTGGTGGAGCAGGACCACAGACTGGAGCAGGACCACAGACTGGTGGAGCAGGACCACAGACTGGAGCAGGACCACTGACTGGTGGAGCAGGACCACAGACTGGTGGAGCAGGACCACAGACTGGAGCAGGACCACAGACTGGTGGAGCAGGACCACAGACTGGTGGAGCAGGACCACAGACTGGAGGAGCAGGACCACTGACTGGAGCGGGACCACTGACTGGAACAGGACCACTGACTGGTGGAGCAGGACCACAGACTGGTGGAGCAGGACCACAGACTGGAGCAGGACCACCGACTGGTGGAGCAGGACCACAGACTGGTGGAGCAGGACCACAGACTGGAGCAGGACCACTGACTGGTGGAGCAGGACCACAGACTGGAGGAGCAGGACCACTGACTGGAGCGGGACCACTGACTGGAACAGGACCACTGACTGGTGGAGCAGGACCACAAACTGGTGGAGCAGGACCACAGACTGGAGCAGGACCACAGACTGGTGGAGCAGGACCACAGACTGGAGGAGCAGGACCACAGACTGGAGCGGGACCACTGACTGGAGCAGGACCACTGACTGGTGGAGCAGGACCACAGACTGGTGGAGCAGGACCACTGACTGGAGCAGGACCACTGACTGGTGGAGCAGGACCACAGACTGGAGCGGGACCACAGACTGGTGGAGCAGGACCACAGACTGGAGCGGGACCACAGACTGGTGGAGCGGGACCACTGACTGGTGGAGCAGGACCACAGACTGGTGGAGCAGGACCACAGACTGGAGGAGCAGGACCACAGACTGGTGGAGCAGGACCACTGACTGGAGCAGGACCACAGACTGGTGGAGCAGGACCACAGACTGGAGCGGGACCACTGACTGGAGCAGGACCACTGACTGGTGGAGCAGGACCACAGACTGGTGGAGCAGGACCACAGACTGGTGGAGCAGGACCACTGACTGGAGCAGGACCACAGACTGGTGGAGCGGGACCACTGACTGGTGGAGCAGGACCACAGACTGGAGCGGGACCACTGACTGGAGCAGGACCACAGACTGGAGCGGGACCACTGACTGGAACAGGACCACTGACTGGTGGAGCAGGACCACAGACTGGTGGAGCAGGACCACAGACTGGTGGAGCAGGACCACTGACTGGAGCAGGACCACAGACTGGTGGAGCAGGACCACTGACTGGAGCAGGACCACAGACTGGAGCGGGACCACTGACTGGAGCAGGACCACAGACTGGTGGAGCGGGACCACAGACTGGTGGAGCAGGACCACAGACTGGTGGAGCAGGACCACAGACTGGTGGAGCAGGACCACAGACTGGAGCAGGACCACAGACTGGTGGAGCAGGACCACAGACTGGAGCAGGACCACAGACTGGAGCAGGACCACAGACTGGAGCAGGACCACAGACTGGTGGAGCAGGACCACTGACTGGTGGAGCAGGACCACAGACTGGAGCAGGACCACAGACTGGTGGAGCAGGACCACTGACTGGTGGAGCAGGACCACTGACTGGAGCAGGACCACAGACTGGTGGAGCAGGACCACAGACTGGTGGAGCACCTGGCCGCAGTACCGCAGCCCGTGCGCCAGGTGGCGGTAGATGACGTGTCCGCTGCGGGCCCCTCAGAAGAAGAAGACGACGCTCTAACAACACTCTGTCCGCCATTTGGGCTGTTTACACTCCGGGTTTCTTCTCTCCCTCTTCTAATCAAACTGAACCAGCTGGTACCTGCGGTGGTACCTGCGCGCGAGACAGCAGCACGTCACAGCGACTGTGATGGCGGCGGACCGGCGCGAGGACAAAGGTGAGGCGCGAGCAGGCTGCGCTGTTAGCATTAGCACGTGTGCTATCTTTGTCCTGCGGAGCCTGCGGTTCGTCCAGCTGCTGGTTAGTAACGCCTGTGTCGGTAACCGGCAGGTCGGTCGCCGCGTGCGGGCTGGTTATCGGCCAGGTGTCCATCAGCTTCGGCTCCCGCGGGACTTCCTTTCATCTGTAGCCCTTTGTTAGCCGCTGCTAGCCGCCGAGGCCTCCCCGCTGATCAGCGTGCCGCCAGACTCCGTTCACAAATCTGCTGTTTCTGCAAAACACATTTTATGCTGCCTGTTCGTTAGGGTTTGTTTACGGGACAGTCCTTTCTCTAAACAGCGTCGTGTTCTGATAGGTTCGGCCTGGGACTGACCGATGAAGACTTCATGGAAAGAATAAATAACTGCTGTAGGTCTGATGTTTATAACCTTTAACTTCCGTTAAGTTATGTGGTGGGAGAAGAACTCAGACCAGGTACCAAGGCCCCCTTCAGACCCACAGGACCTTTATTTCAGATTTCGGTGGTCAGCCTGGGGTGTTGTGTTGTGGTACATGACTTTCTGTACTGAGGTTCAGTAGGTTCAATAACGGATGGATTTTACCGAGTGGTCGCTCACAGACTCCTCTGCATTGTCTAACCATCTTCTCATGTTTGGTCACCATCTGGTCCGTCTCTGTTCCTCAGAGGACGGCGCTGCGTCCTCAGACCTCAGCTGAGCCGCGTTTACACCAAAAGTACCCGGGACTTCTATGGTGCGTTCAAGTTGTACTGGGAAGACCTTCCAACAGGACGCCCCCTATCGTCTAACCGCCCTGGTGATCCAAGATGGCGGCTCCGTGCTTTTACAGTTTGTTAGCATTCTGCGTATTTGTGCATCGTTTACGGGCTTGTTGCTGCTGTCTGTTAGTGAGCCTAAATACAGCACAATGCGTTTCTATCGCGCGGCGTTGGTAACAGTGGTTATCCTGGCTAGTTGTAAACAACGACTGGCGAGGGTGGTGATGGAGCAGTGGATAACACACATGTCTTTTGTGTGAGAGACCCGTGTTCCGTCCACCATTGTGTCCCTGAGCAAGACACTTGACCCCTAGTTGCTCCAGAGGCGTGCGACCTCTGACATATATAGCAATTGTATAATTGCTCCAGTCAGTGGTCCTGAATTGTGTTACTGGAACACGCCGTCAACTCGGGTGTGACGTTCTTGCCAAAGTAAATAAAAATATTTAATGAAGACCCTGAGCAGATCTGATGCCTAAATTTAACCTGGGCACTATGTAGTTTGTCCGAGTGCGTTAAGTTAGCTACCGTTAGCTTAACTTCATCAATAGCTAACATTAACACGTCCCGTTTAATAAGTAGAGCTGTATTTCATTGTATAAGTTCTCCCAGAGCCGTTAAATAAGATTTTCTCAATAGTTGATCCGAGGACCGGTTAAAACTATATCCGTAAGCGCTCCGACATACAGCCAATCGCAGTCTGCCACATCATGCTGCCGGTGTGTTTCAGATGGACAGTTAGCATGTAGCTAGGTGCTAGCACGGCTGCAGGCAGACTAGTTCATGTTGCTGGTGTGTTTCAGATGGACTGTTAGCATGTTAGCATGTAGCTAGGTGCTAGCATGGCTGCAGACAGACTGGTTCATGTTGCTGGTGTGTTTCAGATGGACTGTTAGCATGTTAGCATGTAGCTAGGTGCTAGCATGGCTGCAGACAGACTAGTTCATGTTGCTGGTGTGTTTCAGATGGACTGTTAGCATGTTAGCATGTAGCTAGGTGCTAGCATGGCTGCAGACAGACTAGTTCATGTTGCTGGTGTGTTTCAGATGGACTGTTAGCATGTAGCTAGGTGCTAGCATGGCTGCAGACAGACTGGTTCATGTTGCTGGTGTGTTTCAGATGGACTGTTAGCATGTTAGCATGTAGCTAGGTGCTAGCATGGCTGCAGACAGACTAGTTCATGTTGCTGGTGTGTTTCAGATGGACTGTTAGCATGTTAGCATGTAGCTAGGTGCTAGCATGGCTGCAGACAGACTGGTTCATGTTGCTGGTGTGTTTCAGATGGACTGTTAGCATGTTAGCATGTAGCTAGGTGCTAGCATGGCTGCAGACAGACTAGTTCATGTTGCTGGTGTGTTTCAGATGGACTGTTAGCATGTTAGCATGTAGCTAGGTGCTAGCATGTCTGCAGACAGACTAGTTCATGTTACTGGTGTGTTTCAGATGGACTGTTAGCATGTAGCTAGGTGCTAGCATGGCTGCAGACAGACTAGTTCATGTTACTGGTGTGTTTCAGATGGACTGTTAGCATGTAGCTAGGTGCTAGCATGGCTGCAGACAGACCGGTTCATGTTGCTGGTGTGTTTCAGATGGACTGTTAGCATGTAGCTAGGTGCTAGCATGGCTGCAGGCAGACTGGTTCATGTTGCTGGTGTGTTTCAGATGGACTGTTAGCATGTTAGCATGTAGCTAGGTGCTAGCATGGCTGCAGACAGACCGGTTCATGTTGCTGGTGTGTTTCAGATGGAGAGCTGAACGTTCTGGAGGACATTCTGACCGAAGCTCCAGACCAGGATGACGAGCTGTACAACCCCGAGACCGAGCGAGACATCAGCGACAAGAAGGGTACCTGTACTACTGATACTACTGATACTACTGTGACTTATACTACTGCTGATAGATACAGCTGATAACAGTAAATAATAATAAAAGTCAGTTGTAGGCGTGTGTCTCACGTAAACCGTCCGCTCTGTCTGTCAGGAACAAAGAGGAAGAGTGACCGCTCAGACAGCCAGGACCTGAAGAGGCGTCGCCCCTCATCAGGCCACGCCCCCTCCAGGTCGTCCTCCAGCAATAAAAGAGCCCCGGGACCAGCCCTCTCCGCCTCCTCTTCTAAGAAGGTGGCGTCCAGCCCCCGTGGCCGCCACACCGCCACCACCAGTACCGCCGCTACCGGCAGCAGCTACCATCATGAATACTACGAGGAGCGAAAGGCGCGGCGAGGGGCCCGAGAAGCGACCAGGAGCCGCGGTGGAGAGGACGTACGACGCAGAGAGTCTCCGAGAGGCCTGGAGGGTCTGAGCCAGGTACTGATACCACCACTTCCTACAGTACGAAACTTTTCTTGACAGCCAATCAGCTTTCAGCTGGGTATCCAATCATTTTCATTTCCTGTTTGTCTTCAGAAGTTGCGACGTGACGAGCGGCGTGCAAGCCCCTCCCCCCATGGGGAGGACAACCAATCAGAGGAGGAGGTGGCAGCAGAGTACGGCTCAGAGCCGGGGTCTGGAAGCTCCTCCCCTGCCGGTTCCCACGTAGAGGAAGAGGACGAGGAGGACCAGGAGGAAGAGGAGGAGGAGGAGGAAGAGGAGGAGGAGGAGGAGGAAGGAGAGAAGGAAGATGAAGAGGAGGAAGAGGAGGAGTATGAGCGCCGCGGCGGCGAGGCAAATGACTACGACACTCGCAGCGAGGCTGGCGACTCGCGCTCCGCCTCCTCCGTCAGTTTCTCTGACGACGGCGAGTCGGTGCACTCGGGCTCGGCCTCCGAGGCCTCAGGTAACCATGGCAACAAAGCATCTGTTGTCAGAGTAGAGCAGATGTGTGTGAGAACAGCCGGTGGGTTGAATTCTGTCCTTGATCCCGACAGGTTCGGAGAAGAAGCGGGAGAAGCTGTCATCGTCTGTCCGAGCAGTTCGCAAAGGGATGGAGAGTAAGTACTGCGATGTCTACTAGCGTCAAGTACCACATTACTGTACTAACCACTGACTGCTAAAGGGAGAACCGATGTTCCCTCTGATGTAATCGCAGCCACTTCCTGTGTTGTTTCAGATCCGACCAGTAAACTGCGTTACATCCTGCGAGACGCTCGCTTCTTCCTCATCAAGAGCAACAACCACGAGAACGTGTCACTGGCGAAAGCTAAGGTACTGGTGTTTACACGTCCCGTAGAAAAGGGGAGAGACCGCCTTACTGATGTTTGTGTTACCTTCAGGGCGTGTGGTCGACGCTGCCGGTGAACGAGAAGAAGCTGAATGCAGCTTTCCGCTCGGCTCGGAGCGTCGTTCTCGTCTTCTCTGTGAGGGAGAGCGGAAATTCCAAGGTTAAAACTGATCAATAATTCATATTTTTGCATGTCTACATTGTCCATTTCAGAGTGTTGATCAGGTTCCTTTGTTTCGTCTGGTCGTCTTTAGGTTTCGCCCGTTTGGCCTCAGAGTCTCATCATGGAGGATCTCCGATCCACTGGGTTCTTCCTGCCGGCATGAACGCCAAGATGCTGGGAGGAGTCTTCAAGATCGACTGGCTCTGCAGGTAAGCGAGGACCGTAAACGTGACTGTACGAGTCATCCAAAACATCCTCAGCCGAGTCCTGCAGCTCCGCTCTGAGAAGCAGTGCTGACCAACACAGCTTGAGACAAGACGACGGCGTTAGGACTGCTGTAACCTTCTACTCAACACAAAGTGACGTCCTTGATTCATATAAAAGTACAAACGCACCCCAAAAAGCTCCAGTGTGTTAAATATTTATGTATTATAATTAAACGTTTTATTAAATTCAAGTAACTTTGTAAATAATTTTCTCTGGCAGTAAAATTCATTCAGATTTTTCATTATACGGCAGTGAAGTTGGTATTAAATTTCATCCTAGGTGGCGTTAAAGGTCCTAAATTTAACTTTGAGGATACCCTGATAATGTAAAATGTTCTCCTGCAGGCTGATTTACTCGGACTTGTTGTTTTTACAGGAGGGAGCTTCCTTTCACTAAGACGGCTCACCTGTCCAACCCCTGGAATGAACACAAGCCCGTCAAAATCGGACGCGATGGACAGGTGAGTCTACTTTCTTCAAGTCCTGTTTTTAATTTGAGTTTCTATGTTGCAAGAAATGTTTTAATAATTTTTCAAACTTTGTTAAATATCCTTTAGGAGATCCAACCCGACATCGGCGCTCAGCTCTGTGCCCTGTTCCCATTGGACGAGAGTGTGGACATGCACCAAGTGGCTCGCCGCGTTCGTCACAAGCGTCGGACGCCGTCGGAGCCGCGGCCTAGGGGCCGACCACCACAGCGCGAACCGGGAAGGTTAGCCAATCACCAAGCTCCTCCTCCCGCTTCCTGTTCTTCTTCTTCTCCTGCTGCGACCACGGCGCCACCTGCTGCCGGACGACAGAGACGGCCGCTGCCTTTAGCCGGCGGCTAGCTATCCGTGGCTAGCATTGCTGGTTCTCTGGTGGTTGTTGTGGTTTTTCCAGTCTGGAGTTTTCCTCTGGAGTTTCCACCGGAGTGACGCCTCGCTCTGCGGCTGTGGTTGAAGTCTTAAAAAGAGTCAGGCAGGAAATGTAAATCCTCAGCGGGGCGATGCTTGTTAACAGTTGGCGCCACAAAGATTAATTCTCAGTTTCATTCTTCATTTAATTTTAATTCATAATTCTTTCTGATTGAATTTAAGCAGCTGCACATTTTAATCCATTTTTCTTTTATTAATTTAATTTTTTAAATTAAGTTTTTGTATATTTTTTTTAGATTTCTTTTATACTTATTTAAATCTCTGTAGGTGCTAGTTGAGACATTTGAGAAATTTCTAAATTTGTTGTTGCTAAATTTCTCCTTTGAAGCTCTTTTCTTTGCAGGAGTTTCGCACTTCGGAAGTTAAAAATTCAAAAAGTTTGGCTTTTAGCTGGACTGTGGCTGACCCTTTCAGAATAAAAGCAGAAAGGACTAACGTCACTGGCTGGACTGATGGATGAGGGGGTGGGTGAGGGAGGGGCGAGCGAGATTAAACTAAAACAGAGAGAGAGAAAGTGAGGCACCGTTCCCAGCGGACTGGTTCTGGTTCTTTGAGAAGGTGGTGCAGTGTGGTGGACTATATCCAATGAGAGGCTGGGATGTGTCTGAGGGGGGCGTGGTCTCAGGACTATATCCAATGAGAGGCTGGGATGTGTCTGAGGGGGGCGTGGTCTCAGGACTATATCCAATGAGAGGGTGTGGTGTGTTGGGAGTGTTCCTCGCTTGTTCAAGTAAGGTAAAATTACAGAGATGCATAAAGGAAAAGATGGACTCAGTTTCCAAAAAAATCCTCATGAACTGAAAAAATGATGCCCCCTCCTCCTCCCCCCTCCATGAAAGGACAGTTGTATAAGGCCCTCCTCCCGCCTCCAACCCCAGTGCGCGCACACACACTGAATAAGGACTGAGAGCTCGTTAACAAAAAACTGTTTATTTGTTGTTGTGTGTGTCGCTCTCTATGAACTGAATATAAAAGTGTGTAGGAGGAGGAGGAGGAGGAGGGGAGGAAGAAAAAAATAAGAGAATCCAGAACGGAAGATGGGGGGATGGGGAAGTTGGTGGTTTCTGTTTTAAGGACTGTTGCTGGTCTGGAAGGGGCGGGCTGAGAGGGGCAGGCATTGTTTACTGATTGACAGGACTGCACCATCATCATCATCATCATCACCACCCCTCCACCCTTTCAAAATAAGAGGGTTTAAAAATATGCTTAAACATGGACTGATGAGGAGGAGAAACTGTTTTTTATAATCTAAAGTTTTGTTGACACAAACAGCCCCCCCACATATACAGCAGAAGCGGTATGTTGTCCCTTTCAGAGGCTTCTTCTTCTTTGTTTGTTTTTTTTATTGTGTGTGTGAAGCAAAATTTGTCATATTGATGTTTTTTGTTTTTGGCCTTCGAACATTGAACTATTATTTGTAACAGAAAGCACTGATTGGAAAATTAGTTAGAGAACAGGTAGTCATTGGTTAAATGCGTATCGACCAAAATCACAGATGTGTGTCAGAGGCTTCCCGACATACGACTCCCGGATCTTCAGAGCCTGGACTGACATACAGGAAAACTTGAACAGGAAAAGAAGGAAGAACCACTAGAAAGCAGGCTGACCAATTGAAAGGGCTGGTAGACATGAGGACGACCGGTAGGGAGGACCCCGTAGACATGAGGACGACCGGTAGGAAGGGTAGAAAAGACCGGTAGACATGAGGACGACCGGTAGGAAGGACCCTGTAGACATGAGGACGACCGGTAGGAAGGGTAGAAAAGACCGGTAGACATGAGGACGACCGGTAGGGAGGACCCCGTAGACATGAGGACGACCGGTAGGAAGGGTAGAAAAGACCGGTAGACATGAGGACGACCGGTAGGAAGGACCCTGTAGACATGAGGACGACCGGTAGGAAGGGTAGAAAAGACCGGTAGACATGAGGACGACCGGTAGGAAGGGTAGGGAGGACCCCGTAGACATGAGGACGACCGGTAGGGAGGACCCCGTAGACATGAGGACGACCGGTAGGAAGGGTAGGAAGGGTAGGGAGGACCCCGTAGACATGAGCACGACCGGTAGGAAGGGACCTGTAGAAGCGGTAGACAGGATTGGTAGAACTGGAGCAGTAGATGGCAAGATGAACACCTGAGACGCATCTCATCTGGATGAGTCAGTCCCTTCATCAGGTTTTTCTTATATTGAAATCGGACCTGACTGAGTTTTGAGTTCATGCTGAGTAATGGGTGTGTGTGTGTGTGTGTGTGTGTGTGTGCGCGCGCGCCTCGTGTGCATGTGTGTGTCTTACCTGTTACTTGTCTACGTAGGCGTCGCCCTGAAGAGTACGACCTCCACGGCAGGAAGCGACCACGAGCCGACGGTCCGCCCGACTTCAACCAGCGAGCAGGTCGTTAATCTGAAAACCTCGATACCTGTTGACCTGTGATCACAGAAGTGCTGCTTTAAGTTTTTTCAAATCAGTGTTTGAAGTTTCTTTTCCTGAAATGTTATGTAGGAAGTTTTTAACCTGTGATTCAGTTGTTTGAGTGACTTCCTGTCTGTGGAATCTGTCGCTGCTCCGCCGGTAAACCGGGAACATTAACACAAGAGTTTCATTTATTCTCAGGCTTCATCCAGGACCTGCGGAACCAGCCGGTGGACAGGTGAGGCACACCATCACTTACCTAAAACAGGTCACAGGAAGTAGGCGGAGCTGCAGCAGCATTAATCATTAAAACATGACAGAGTTTTGTTTAATTGAATGTGTGAAAACTTTTAACAAAAACTTAATTAAGTCAGTTCATGTTTCTGCAGAAAACCGACGTGTTTAGACATTACATTTCTGTAACTGAATAATCTCATTGCACATCTGAATTTAAATACGAAACTGTTAAAGAAAAGATCTCAAAGATTTATTTATCAAAACCTAATCAAAAAAATGATTCTAACATTAATTGCAAACTGTTCTTGCTTTCAGACGCTTCTCCAGTGTGAGGCGCGATGTTTTCCTCAACGGGGTGAGTCACTAGCATGTTCGCTTATCTTCATTTTATCCTGTTAGCATATTTTCATTTTATCCTGTTAGCATGGTCGCATAGCTTCCTGTTAGCTCTAGTTGTAATCGCAGTGTGTTGTTAGCGTGTTAGCCTCAGCGACAGGTGTGTTCAGGGCCAAACCTTTATTTAAACAGACTTGAACGCCCTGTTGTTTTTTTAATGGGGCAAGTTTATATCCACACTGCTGATTGGGTAACCGCTCTGACACGCCCACTGAACAAGAGAAACCGTAGGTAAACGCCAGCTGCATGCCGTTTCACAGCAGTTTGAGGAGACGTGATCAGGTGTGCGCAGGTGTTTACCTGTGTGTTTACCTGTGCTTCCTGTTTCAGTCCTACAATGACTACATGAGGGATTACCACCACAGCGTGGGGCCTCCTGCTCCCTGGCAGACTCTGGTACGACTCTCTTTTATTGATCGATCCGGTTATTGCTGACAGACTGAACAAAAGAGTTTTTTTTATTTATTCAATTTATTTATTTACCTGGGACAGTGCACAGTAATCAACATTGTGGTCCGCTAAATAGCTTATTTTAATCCGTGGTCCCGGGGCAGGCTCTAACTAATATAATGCCAAATATCATCAATATAGTGTATAAAAGTACTGCAAGAAATATATAATGCATAAGTGCATTTGTGCAAAAGTGCCAGAAGTATGTGAAATCATTACCATTATGTAAAATGCTGAAGAGAGGTGGTAGGATTGTTAGTGATTTGCATTAAGCCATGACTTAAGTTTCTGTTTGAAAGTTAAATCATCATTTATTCTCAAAGTTCAGTAGGTAAACTATTACAGTAGGTGGTGGCTCTGTTTGTCCAAACTAAC